GCCGCCCATGGAGCGGCAGTCTTCTGGTTGGCGGCCTGGTCCTGCGAGCCCTCGCCCTCCAGGATGACCTTGCGAGCACCGCCCTGCACTGGCGGCGCCTGCCTCTTGGGGCCGTCGCCCCGCATGAGCAGCGCCAGGCGCTGCCGGTACTTGCCCTGCGTCTCGCCGTCCTTCTTGGGGTTCTGCAGCTTCAATTCCTAGAAAGTCCTGGAGGGCCTGTCCGCCGTCGGGGGGCGTGGAGGCTGGCGACTCGCACCCGCCACCTCTGCAGTGCGAGCCGCCTCCTGAAAACCCCGACCTCCAGCTGGCCCACCAGTCGTCCCGTCGCTGGGGTGGCCTGCAGGGGTCGCTCCCATGCTGGGTGGAGCGGACCCCCGGCCGAGTCCCTAGCCGACAGGCTTGAGCTTCCCCGCGAGCTCGGCGAGCTTCAATTCGCCGTACTCGATCTTCCTCAGAAGCTCCTCCTCCTCGATATTGATGGCAGCCATGTCGGCATCGGGAGGGATGAGCTCCAGCCAGCGCGCGCTCCTCCAATGCTTATCCTTGCAGGCGAGCTGGCAGGCTTTGAACCTCTGCATGAGCATGTCCATGGCCTCCGGGAGCTTCCCTTGGATCAAGAGGTCCAGGGACTCGGACAGAGTGCGCATCTGCCTGAACATGTCCTCGCCGATTGATGAAACAGGGTGCGAGGCCAAGAAGATGTTCAGCAGGAACTTGTTAACTATCGGAGGGAGCTCCTCCTCGGCATCGTGCATGCCCTTTGTGCTGAGAAACTGCTTGAGGTGCGACAAGTGGGCCGTCAACAGCTTCCCTGGAGTGTCGCGAGCAGTCTTCCTGAAGAACGCTCGTGAGGCAGCCAACGACTTCCCAGGCGTGAACTCCAAGCCGTCGGTGATGCCGAAGCCCTCGATGCCCTCGGCAGGGGTGAGCGCGCCCAGCAGCGAGCGAAGGAGGTGAGCGGCAGACCCGCCGCCCTCACGCTCGGGCCCAGCGCCCGCCAGGCCTCCGCTGCCAGCTGCGCCCCCGTCCGCGGGCCCCCGCCTGGGAGCCTTCGCCGCCCTCTCAGCCAGGATCTCATCCAGGGACTTCCTCTTGAGCGGGGCCCCCTCAGCAGCGGCACCTCGAGGCTCGGCGGCAGCGTCGCCCTCGGCGCCCAGACGACCCTTCAAGTCGCCCAGCCTCTTGCGGAGGAGCGCCTGCATCTCCTCGTCAGGGCGGCGCCCTGCAGGCTCCTTCGCAGCGGCGGCGGCGGCGGCCTCGAGCGGGGTCTCCCCGCCGGCGGTGCCGCGGGGGCGAACGCTCCCGCCAGGCAGCCCCGCGGGCTCAGACGCGGCCGCGGCAGGTGGCCGAGCCCGAGCGGGCGGCCGACCGCGCGCCTTGACGGCGGCACGCCCAGGAGGGCCCGCGGCGGCGCCAGGCCCCTCCGCCTCGCGAGCGGCCTCGAGCTCACCCACGGAGTCGACGACCTTGGCGGCGAGCCCGAACTCGTCCAGCTCGGCGGGCACCAGCTCCTCGTCCCCGGGATCCCCCAGCTCCTCCTCCAGCGGCTCGGGCCCCAGCTCGGCAGGCCAGCGCGCAGCAGGATTGCGTCGCCGGAACTGGAGGTACGCCTCCTCGACCGACTCTAGGACCACGACCTCGTCGACGTGCGTCACCTCCACGCCAGGGCCCGCCTCCGCCGCGCATAGGATGGCCGACTCATCCTCTGGACAAAAATGGAGAACACGCTTTGACTTCCTGGCTCCAGGGGATCCCGCATTTTCCTCGTACCACTGCAAGTACTGATCAGTGCAGAACAGGAACTCAGCGCGCGCGAACTGGCCGTGCTCGCTCGCCTCGTACAGGCTGACGATCCGAAACACGGCCTCGCCCTGCTCGGCGTCGGCGTCGTCGTAGCACGTGACCTGGATGCAGTCACCTGCCCGCACGGTGCGGCCCTCGCCAACGGCCGCCGCCGCGGCGCCCTCGCCGTCCGCCATGCGGCCTGCAGAGGCGAGCTGCTATCAGCTCGCTCGCGCGCCGACGTGCACCCTCGGTGCACAGAAAGACATCAGAGCAAGAAAGCTGCGAGATAAGATCGGCGATTTCGCGGGACCCCCGAGATACCCCAATGACCTGTAGTCATAAGTCTGATATATGCAACGGCGACGGCGGCGACGTCCGACACCGCCTGCAAAAGCCGCCGTTCGCCCCGAGCGTCGGCGACGGCGACGGCGGCCACCGGGCGGCACCGCCCGCAAAAGCCGTCACTCGCCCCGAGCGGCGGCGTCGGCGACGAGAAGCCAGCACTTGATGGGCCTGTTTTCCACCACCACCACCATAAGTTGGAGGGGGGGAGGAGGTGCAGGACGAGGGGGAGGAGGACGAGGAGGAGGAGGAGGAGGAGGAGGAGGAGGAGGACCCCCTCCCCCTCCAACTTATGGTGGTGGTGGTGGAAAACAAGCCCATGACGCACTGGTCCCCAGATGGCGAAGACAAGCAAGAAATCCCTCAGTGCCAACACGGATCGGGGAACTGCTCCGGAGGCGCGAGGGCTTCAGAGAAGTCCCGCCGCCTTCTGAGAAGGCCATCTCCTTCTCATTTCCCCCACTCGCTCCCCGCCGCAGCTCGGGTGCGCCGAAGCACTCTCCCAGGCGAAGGTCACCAGCACTCCTCCCCTGGGATCCTTGGTCTCCATTTTCTCGAACCAGATGTTTTTTCGCCTTCCTTTGGGCCCCAGGGCCCTCGCAGATCGATCCGGATGGACAAATGACGCAGAAAGCTGTGGTATACGGCTCTGGGCGTTACTTTTCACGATGTTTCAAGTTTCTACCTACGTCGGACCTCAAGGAACACTCTCCGAGGCGACGGTCCCCGACCCTCCTCGCGTCGCGAAACAACAAAACACGACGGCTGATTTTGGCGAGGTTCGGCCTCCGGGGGCCGTTCTACCGGGCCCAGCTCTGTGCGAGAGAACGGCTCGTACTTTCTTGGAAGGGGCGCCAGAAGGCCGAGGCGCACTGGATATGGATTGGACACCAAGCCGGCAAAGCGTCCCAACTAGACTGCCAGCACTAGAACGGCTCAGGATGGAACTCCCGTCCCAGGGAAGCGGTTGTCAACCTCCAGAGGTCCACCTCGTGAGCAAACAACTACGGCGTCGGAGTAGCTGTATGCAGGGGCGCTGGTGGTCCATGACTTCGGCGAGGCTCCCCGGCGAATGCGTGTGATTACCGCCCCTGGGCGACTCTTCGCCCCTGACGCCGCCTCCGAAAAGGAGTGGTGTCAGGAAGAGAAGGGTTAGCGAAAACATGGCTCGAGGAATCTGCTCGGACGAGGGGGAGACCAAGGATCGCTTTCAAAGAAGAGGTACTCGTGAAGTCTGGGAAATCTCATGGCGCTGGCCGTCATATCCCCCCCCCTCCTGGACGCCCCCGGAACACCTCCACCACTGGGACTCTGGCGTGTTTTTTTTCTTTTGCGCACCGTGCGATTTCGCCATATATTGCGAGCCCCAGGGCCGTCCGCAGAGAGTCGGGACATGGGCTCTGGCTGCGAAGTTGCACAATGTGCTGCACGAGGAGGAGGAGGACGAGGAGGAGGAGCAGCAGGAGGAGGAGGAGAAGGAGGAGGGTGACGAGGTGGAGGAGGAGGAGTAGGAAAGGTTCGCGACGTCAGAGCCCAATCCACAACCAAAACATTGATTTGCTGCTCTCCGATTTCGCCCTCCCTCTGGTGGCCCTCCTCGCCGGAACGTGGTGCCGTCAAGGAACCGCTCAGGAGGAACCGCTCAAGAAAGAAAGGCCGTCGCTCGCCGGTCTGCTTCCGACCGCTGCTTTCGTCGCGCTTTCAGTGCGTCGTGACCTCCTCGTTTGAAAGTGGCGATGGTGGGCCTGCACGGACTCTCGTAGCGCTAATGGCTTCGACCCTGAGGAGCGGAATCGGGGATCCACGGACCCAGGTCAATCCAAACCCGGGTCAGCCAGGACAGGACCCTGCGCTCGTGGTACTCAAAACCCGGGCGGCGAAACGACAGAAATTTCTGGAGGGCTTTGAAAGGAGCGCTGAAGAATTGGAAAGGAGCTTTTGGAAAGCTTGACGGCACACGCATTGGGAAACAAGTAGACAAGGCCCGCCAGGACGAGCTGCAAGCTCGCTGGAGTTCAGGGATGCCTGCCGCAAGCCGAAATGAGCCCCAGGGCTACCCTGCGGTGCCGGCTTCTAATCTGAAACCCTCTTAGCTCTCTGCCAGAATTCCAGGAAGAATCCGCAGCTCTGGCTGACCCCCGTTTGCACTAACCCCCGTCTCAAGGCTCCCGACACGGAACTGATGTCGCAGCCCGTTGTTGGCCAGAAGCCGAGGCGGGCGCCGAATCAACCTGGGCCTCGTTGCGTCTGTCTGGGTGTCTTGTCTCGATATGCGGACCTCGGATGTCCCCAATGGGCCCCATGACCGTCAGAAGACGAGTTCCCTCCTCACCCTCCAACTCTTCTCCTCCAACTCTCGTCCTTCTCCCCCTTCTCCCTCCTCATCTCTCCCCCTCCTCCTCCTCCTCCTCCACCTCCTCCTCTTCCTCCTCTTCCTCCTCCTCTTTCTCCTCCTCCTCCTCCTCCCTCCTCCCTGCTCCTCCCCACCTCCTCCTCCTCCTTCTCCTCCTCCTCCTCCTGGCTCCTCCTCCTCCACCTCCTCCTCCTTCTCGGTTCAAACCTGTGGGGAGCCACGTGGTGGAAAGTTCACGACGTCGGATGTCTGGAAGCCTTGAGGAGGTCCGCAGATACAAATCCGGGGGCACCGCTTCGAGCCAGCAGCCACGTCCCAAGAGACCTCTGGTGGAGGGAGCACTGCCTGGTTTGGCAACTGTTGATGCTACTTGTTGGCCGTATGGGGCAGTAGGCGTCTACAACAACGGAATGGTCAGACCACTGAGGAACACATAGTATTCCTTCGCTCTATCTCTTCCCTGTCTCGATGGGCAACGCCAAACAACGACGCCACGACGCCATTGGGCACTGTCGGAGACCTAAGCGGAGTTCTTGGGCTGGCGGCTGGACCCCTGGCGACGCCTGCGGCTTCGCACCTGGCGCGCGTCGCGCGCCAGGGAAGGAAGGTACAGCGCCGACCCAAAGCATCCGCGCGAACCTCCCAAAGCATCTGCCGATGCGGCTTGTTGTCCCTTGACTCCAGCCGATGTCCTCCAGCTCCAGCTCCTGAGCATCGTTTCACCGATCCCCATCCCCACCAGCGCCGCCCGGGCCCCTCTGGCCGATTGCTCACCCTGCATAGGGGATAAAAGCTGCTCCCTTGGGGTCTCGATGGGCATGTGCCCGAGTGGGGTGGTGGGATGGTGGGGATCGGGATGGGGATGGGGAGAGTGACCGGTTCAACGATACTCGAAGAAGAAACAATGGCATAAACACAATTTTTGGTCGCTCCGCGCGGATGTCTTGGATCTGCGCTGGACCCCCCTCCATGGCGCGCGGAGCGCGCCAGGGGCGGCGCCGGAAGCGCCGCCGGGGTGGCCCATCGCGGGTCCAAGAAGTCCGCGCGGAGCGCCAAGAGTTTATGCTCATGCCGTCTTCTCTCCTTCGAGATACCGAGCTCCGCCCCAGCTGAGTATACGGCGTAGTTGTTCGCCACGCTCTTGCCGGCGTGCCGGATGCCGAAGCCCCGCAGGACCGCCCGTGCGCCCGGCTCGGCCGCCACGGCGGCCTCGTAGGGCCGCTCGGTCTCCCACTCGGCGCAGGGCCGGGAACGGGCGTGCGCTGACTCGGGGCGGCTCCCGGCGGCCGTCGGTCGGCATTGCAGTCGAACCGTACAGCAAGGATGCGCGGCAAGGGTGCAGGGGACACTTGGAGGGCCCTGCTGACGCTTCTCGAGCGAGGCTGGCCCGCGAAGGTCGCTGAGGATGGGCCGAAGGGGCAAGGATGCCAGGGCAACCTTTGGAAAGTCGCTCATCCGTACCATGCGGGTTGATCGTAGGCAGACGTTGGGCATGTCCTCCTACAGGCGGATTTTGGAGGAAGAATCGTCAAACTATTCATTTGTTTTCTCCTCACGTCGACCACGGCGGCTGGATGCCTCGACAACTTCGCATGGCCACTGCCCCCGGACATGGAGGGAAGCCGGGCTGCGTGGGCAGCCGACCACCAAAGAATACGGAGACGCTATCAGGCACGTGGCAGGGACAGCGAAAGAGCACCCGAGACAATTATTGCCTGGGGGCCAGGACGGAAATGTTACTTAAGACCGGGTTTTTCGAGACCTGCGGTCTGGCGAATGCGCTGGCCAATACGGGCCTCCCGATACGAATTCCCACTTAAAACGTATTTGTGAAAACGGGCCGTAGACTGGTCATGCCCCAGCGCTCGGGAATCCCTTAAGTTGCTCGGATGAACCAAGTACCAGAGGGGTCTCCCCGACGACCAATACAAACAATCATGAAACACATGGAATATTACAACCTGAACAACTACAAAGATATGCACACATGAAATATATCACGCTTTTTAATCTTGAAATGATACTTCACACGAAATACATGAGTATACAAACTTACAAAAGCTGCCTTAGCATGGAAAGCCGCACGGAATTCAGTGGGAATACAATGGACGTCGCGTACGATCGGGGCATACACTGGCCAACGCCTAGGTTACACAACGCATATCCAAATGAGGGTAACGCCATATACGCTAGGATTCGAGAGCCGCCGACACCGTACCCAATGCATTTACCAAACGTGCAACTCTGCATGGAAACGTACATGTGCGCGTGGCACTAGAAGCTGCTGGTGGTAACGTTGCAGACGAAAAACTGAATATCGCGAAGACGGTCGGCACTGGCCGAACGGAAAACCCCCATGCACCAAGTAAATGCATTAATGTTGCTGGGGGGGAGGGGGGGGGAGGGGAGGCACGCTGCGCGCGAGACCCCTGAGGCCGATGGGTCCGCAAAGACAGCCCAAGACGAATCCAAAAGATAAGACGACGAAAGCTCGCCGCGCGCCCGAAGTAGCTACTGCGAGGGCCAATGAAATGCCCGAAGATATTTCAAACGACTTCCAAGAAGCTTGACACGTGGCCCCATGCCGCGCCACGCCTAAAGGCCTCGGGATGCTTCCAAAAACAAGTTGGCTTCCAACAGTCCTCCAGAATTTCCCGTGGAGTTTCTCAGAGAACCGCAGCGGTCTCGACCGAAGGCGGACGACGACGGCGGGCGGCCCGTGCTCTCTGGCGCTCAAGCCGCGCGCCAGCACGATGGATTCGAAAAAGGATCGAACAATGTGAACTCCCTGGAAGCAGCGCCGAAGTGAAATTACTACCGAGTGGAGGCGACGCCAGAGAGAAGGATGCAGACCAAGAACTAAGAACATACGCCAGGTATGAGAGCACGATGGGAGAGGATGTGGATACGCGATCCCGACTCTTCCCAGCGCGCTGAGTCTCCTGCACCGCGGATCCCGCGGGTCTGACGAAAGACCGCCCGCGTCCCGCGCCAGGCGAACGAGGACATGCGGAGGCGCCCATCATCCCTCCTGCGTCGGCCCCTTGTCTTGAGGACCTGATTCCTCTGGCCTCTCACGGTCCCCGTCGCCTGCGTCGATCTCCCCTTTCTCTGCCAGCGCCTGGAGCCTCTTCAAGACGCTCGCCCCAGGGTCGAAGGCCGCCTTGGCTCCGGTGCACTCCTGGGGGCAGACAACAACGCCAAGGGGCTCAGGCCGACGACGACGCCATGCATCGAGCGGGAAAAGGTTTGGGCCGACGAGGGGAGAGCAAAATCGAATGATTTGAGAATATCCTCTCGTAAGTCACCTACCGCATGCAAAACTTCTAGATGAGCCGACGTCGGGCCCGCGACGTCGGGCCGTTTCAAACCAGCAGGAGGAGTTGGAGGAGGGGGAGGGGAGGAGGCGTCCTCGTAGTACTTCTTCGCGCTCGTCTTGCGCATGTTGCCATTCCTGATGCCCGGGATGGCCACGAGCGTCTGGTGCAGGGCCGCAGTCATCTCGCAGTAGCTCCTGGCGCTGTCGGCCCGCGAACCCCAGTCCTTGAAGGAGCTCGCGTCGACAACGACGCCGCACCCGTCGTTGTTCAGGAGCTGCAGCTGGCTCCGCCAAGAACTTAGCATGGCCACGCCCTTGCCGCACCTTCCGAAGTCGCCGTTATCGAGCATGCGCTCTACCAAGGACTTATTCTCTGGCTCCAAGATGCGGTCCTTCTTCAGCTCCCATCCCGTGACTGACCATTTCGTGATGAGATCGGCGAGCTGGTTGCAGTCGCTGACCCACCCCGTGACGACGGTCTTGATGAAAGCGCTGATGTGGTCAAACACCTGAGGAACTCCTGACAAGTCAAACTCGACGCCAAGGCTGGCTGCCTTGAGCATCTGGTCGACAGACGCGGGCCTCTTGTGAAACAACTGCTGGGACTTCTGCTTGAAGGCGTCGCTACCCATGAAATCGCTGAAGATTTTCACCTCGCTTCGCACGTGGGACACTCGCTTCACCATGTCGGGACTGACCTTCTTGTCTTTCTTCTCCTCGATGCTGTCCCAATGGAGGCGGAACTCAGCGTATGCCTTCATCATGTCGCCGTACAGGTTCAAGGCCTGCAGTTCGGTGATGAGGATACGTTGACCAGGCATGCTGTTCAGAACCCCCATGGCGGTGGGGAGATCACCATCGAGTTTGAAGGACTTGTACGCGTTCAACATATCCTTGGAGTCGTCGATCTTGCAGACACCGTTGAACGTGTCGTTGATCCATGTCTTCGCAGAGTTCTCCAAAGAAGAGATTCTCCTTCTTGCCACCTCCGTGCATTTCGAGCCCAGCCTTCCCTTGACTTCCCAGAAACGCTTGAACGCGCTGAGACAGTCTGGCACAATCTCCTGAATGGCCTTCGTGAGCTGATCGTCGTTCAAGAAGCGGTGCAGACCGTTCAGATACTCGATGCCATGCTCTTCGGTGACTTCGTCGACCGCATGCCACAGTTTGCCAGTGAACTCAATGAACGCAATAACCTTGAGAAGCACCCTGCACAAACCTGGGACTTCCACGTTAGAAATATCGGGGTGAATGTCGAAGATCGCCGCGCCGTCCTGAAATACCGCAAGTAAAGACTCGACACGGCCCTTGGAGACGTCGGGCACGTTGAGCTCCGGCGGCATCGCCAGGCCAAGATGTTTCTGCAAGACAACTTGCAGCAAGAACGAGCGCACGGCCATCAACCAGGCTGGGGTCACAATCTCATGTACTGCAGTCACGCAATCCTTGCGCTGCACGATGGACTTCGCAGTCACAATGTCGTGGGCTTCAAGGTCGGCCAGGTCCTTCACGAGAATTGCCTTGAGGTCGCTGGTGTTCTTATGCGCTGACTCCAGCTGGGCAATTGCGCCGCGGGCCTGCTTCAGGATCTCGCGGCCCTTGGGGAAGGCCGCGACGGCGTCTGCCACCTTGTACGTGTGCCACGAGTCCATGAGAGACTTGAGCTCGGTATGATCGCCACCCGCCCGGGTCAACATATTCCGCAGCGCGGAAATCTCCTTCTGCACGAGTGAGATCTGATCCTCTGGACACGCCTCGTCGGGGAAGGGCGCGATCAATCTCCCATGAACCTGACCCCGCTGAACCGCCCCGAGACCGACGAACAGGGCCAGGGTCGAAAAAAGTGATATGAAATATGAAGGAGAATGGATAGCACCTCCCCGCGCGAGCCGTGACCAGACCTCCCATGCGCTTCGGGGTGGTGACCCACGGCCAGGTTTGCGACCGATGTCCGATTTGTCACTGCCGAAGCGCTGCACGAACACGTCGCAAAGGGCCAACATGTCCTGCTCCGTTCCAGCAACGTTCGTAGTCTCGGACTGCTGGAGCAGCATCAGCTTGCAGTTGACGACGTCTACCATGTACTGGGCGACTCCGCTGGCCTCAACGTAGACCGAGATGTCGCTGACCGCCATGTTGTCCCAGAACTTCTCCGCTGGCCAAGCGTCCTCTGCGATCTGCCGCCGCATTGTCTTCGTGATCCACGCGGAGAAGGGGTCCTCGCAAGGTGGCTCCTGCAGGCTCGGCAAATACACAAACTAGAGGAGGCGTTGCTTCGGGGCGGGGACTGCCCGAGGACACCAAGCGGGCGTCAAGAAGGCCAGAGAGCGCATCAGGAGGAGCCCGAGGGAGCTTCCAGAAGACACTCAGGACAATCCATGACTCCCCACCCAGACTAGCCTTAGAGGGTTCCCGGGATGGCTCGAGACTCCCAAGCTTGACTTAGCGGGGCAAGCTTTTCGGGCGTCTCCGAGATGGCCCAGAAAGGCTCCAAAGGGGGGCCAATCTAACTCCCATGGCCCATGACGGCCCGCGAGGCCTTCAGAGAAGCCCCCGCGACGACCTGCGCGAGCTCCAAGAGGCGCCAGGGAGCGCTCGTGCCGAAGGCAGCTCGAGAGAGCTTCAAGACGAGCCCAGGAGAGGACCCCAAGCGGCCGCCAAGAAGGCCCGAGAGCGTTCCAATAAGAACCCGAGGGAGCACCCAGGATACTTCATCGGGTGCGCTCGCGAGGGTGTATTGCGCCTGGGGCGGGCTTGATCGAGCCGCTTTCCTAAGCAAAAATCCCCATCCGCGCACCCGAGACGCGTTGTTTTTGGTTTCAGAAAAGCTTGAATTCGGCACCCCGCTAATTCAAGTTTTTTCGGCCGCCTCCGAGATAACCCAAGAGAGCTCAAATCATAACCCAACTATAGCTCCCAAGACGGCCCACGAAACTTTCAGAGAAGCTCTCATGACGACCCAGGCGAGCTCCAGGACGCGAAGCGTGGATATTTCAAAAAGCCTGTGCGGCTGTCCAACGCGAAGAAGCGCATCTGCTCCCTGTAGCACTGCACGGTCTCTGGACTCGCGAAGCCCTTCGACTGGACCTTCGTGAACCAAGCTTTCGCGCCCTGAATCGTCTTCTCGAGGATCTGCAAGTCCTTCAGGTCCGACTCGTCCGTCGCGATCCTGATGTCCTCGTCGATGTCCTTGAGGTAGTTGCCCCAGTTGCGGTTGATGTTCTTCCACTCTTCGAAATATTTGCTATCAGAACCCTTGATCTGCTTGATCTCCTTGAGCGCCTGGACGAGGAGGAGCCTCGAATCGCGAGGCTTGCGACCGCGCTTGCCAGGCGCAGCTGCTGCATCCTTGCTCTTCTTCTGGGTCGATGCCTTCCCCTCTGCGTCGGGGCCCTCAGCCCCAGGCCTCGCCTTCGGCTTCGCGCGGCCCGCAGAGGGCGCCTGCTGGGGAGTGCCAGACACGCGGCGCCTCTCCCCTCCGGCTGCTGCACCATCCTCATCCTCGGCACGCTCACCGCCCATGCTGAAGAAATCACTCGTGGCATCCGGCGCTGGTTGCACTGCAAGTGGGCGCGCTGAGGCTGCTGGAGGACGCGCTGGCTCTGGGGATCCTGCGGGCTCTCCTGCTGCGCGAGCGGCGGGGGGGGCCCCGGCGGCGCCGTCGCCCGAAGACCCCGAAGCCGCAGCCAAGGCCTGGAACGTGCCGCCCATGGTGCCGCGTAGCTGCTCGAACCGCTCGTTCGTGTACTGAGAAGAATAATCGTCGCTTTCGTAGGACCTCCTCTTGACAGCTTGAAAAAGAATACTCTCCCGTTTCTTCCATATCCCATCGGACCCCATATTCACCAAGTCAGTCCCGTCCGGGGCGCGCTCGAGGAAGTGGCCCTTCCCATTTGTCTTCCAATCTCCGTGGCCGTTGATCTGGTACTGCTGCAGGGGCAAGAATCTCGTCTCTGGCTTCACCCACTCGATTTGAGAAATGCTGAGAGAGAAGATCTCGTCCTTCGTGGGCCAGCTTGTCACGAATATCTGGTCACGATCGTCGCAAACTTCAAGCCGCTTGATGACGTACTCGACGAGCCACGCCCTGAAACGATTGAAACACTCGGATGTCTGATGGCAAGACCCGACCTTTTTCTTAAGCTCTGTCAAGTTGAACGATATCATGTAGTGGACGTTCCAGACCCGGTAGCAGTACCAACACACGGCGCCCTCTGTCTCCAACTCGACAAGGACGAAAACATCCTGACCCGTCTTGCCTTTGGTCTTCTTGTACCCGCCCCAGAGGATGAACACGCCAGGGCTGCACGGGTCTGGGTCCGTGTCCTTGGCACCGCAAATGCCGCACAACCTCCCACATGTCTTCGCCTTGGTTTTCATGAGAAACGTGTGCTTCGCGACCCTGCCCGAGGACTTGTCGCCGCTGCGGGTGCTGCCGCACTTGCTCTTCTTCGGGCGGTGCTGGCGATCCTCGGCCCCGCCAAGGCTGGGCGGCATTGGAACCGTTCCAACTTGCTGAGAGCCACCGTCATCATCACCAAAGAGCTCTGCCCCGAGCTGATCGATCTCCATGGGTTCGGCCATGGCCTGACCGCTGCTGGCAGGCCTAAGTTGGCGCGCTGAGCGTTCGAAAGCTCTTGCCAATATCCGAACTTTAAACCTTGGGCAAAAAAAAGCTCTGAGCGGAGAGGGCGCGGACTGCGGTCCGCGGGGGCGTAGCGGGGGGGGGGGCACCTCAGGAGGACATTCGGGTAACAGGTGCTGCTTCGGTGACCCCCCGCGCCCCACACCACGCCACGCGCCGTAGATTGCCATCGCAAATGGTAGTCCAAGAAACCTCGGCCCTGGAACTATAAACAAAAACCCGAAAGTGATGATTGGACTTCGGAGTTTCGCAGTCATCAAGGCAACTGCCCCCCCCCCCCAGGCGCTGGATACATGCGCACGTATTCAAACCTGAGCCCCAGACAGTGATCTCCGTCAGCGAACGCGGTTCAATCTAATACGCGCAATGCGCGCGGTGCGACCTATCTCCTGCAGCCCGCCCTTTCAGCCTGGACGCTCTCAAATGATCAAGGCGAATGATCTTCTTATCAAACGTGACGCGAACAATCCTCAATCACGGGCCGTGGCAAGGGGACATCCATCAATCAGATGACGCGGTGTTCTTCTAAACAGACCGACAAACAAACCAGGCGCATTACTTTCATACCCTATCACCTATCACACCTCAATCCACTCAAGACTTGCAGACCCGCCTCGCGCGCCGAGATGGGGCGATGGGCGACTAGCGGAGCGCGGCTCTGCAGCCGCAAGCAAAAAAACTCCCTCTAGTCGAGCGCGGCGCTCGACAGCGACAGGTCGCCGAGATACCCTCTCACGGACCTCGGAGCAGGAAGCGACGTCGATCCACGCAAGAGGGTCGACTTGGAAACCCCTGGGTGCCATGCAGGGCGCGAGAGCAACGCGAGAGGCGGGGATATCTAAACGGGGACCCCATCCGCCAAGTCGGGGACGCTACACGGGGGGGCCCATAGGGGGCCCCTTCCGACGACGACGACGACGACGACGACGGCGACGATGACGACGACGAGGGGGGGCAGCGCCCGGCGCCCGAGAAACCCGACACCGACTTTGCCGCTCCAGCGGCGTCGCGGGCCTCCTCCTCCTCCTCCTCCTCTTCCTCCTCCTCCTCATCCCCCCCTCGCCCCATCCTGGACCCATCCTCATCCACGTCTGAAGTGTCAGAGAGAGGAACGGCCGACGACCGCGCCTCGCCAACGCTGCAGCTGGCTGCTCAGTCCGAGTCCGACGCCAGGGACGACACGGAGATGTTCTCGCGGTCGGTGTCGGCCCCGGCGCTGTGCTCGAAGCCAAAGCCCGAGCTGGCGAGCATCTGCTTCGTCGCGGCCTCCTGGGACTCCTCCAGCTGCTCCTGCTCGCGCTTCCTGGCGTCGCACTTGTACCAGTCAAAGTGCGCGGCGCCCAACGCCGCGATGACGATCGGGGCCACCGCGAACCCGCTCCACGCGTTGCCCGCCATGTCTTCGAGGAGCTCTGGCGTCACGCCAGGGGTCTTGAACGGGGAGCTCTGGCCCTTGTAATGGCCCAGGGACCACCCGATGAAGTGCATGCACTCAAGACCGTGCACGTGGCGCATCGAGACACGCCCGTCGCTGTCCATGAAACGGGCCGCAATCGACGACTGCGCAGTCAGCGTGGGGACGAAGTCCTTCCAAGGGCTCTTGAGAGAGCCGTCCTCCTTGACGGACGGGTACTTGAAGATGCGCTCGAAGGTGTGGTTGCAATCGAAGAATTGCCAGCCGCTGGCCGTGGCTGGCCACGTCTGGTTTGCGAAGAACACGACCTCCTTCTCGCGCTGGTATCTGAAGCTGTGGAGCTCGTCCGGCAAGGTCGGCGGCCACTCGACGCCGTGCTGCAGGAATGCCGACTCGTGCACCGACTTCCAATTCGCATCCGTCTTGCCCTTCTTCGGCGCTGGCCCATGGGCAGCGGCGGAAGGGGCGGCCTCGATGATACCCTCGCAGAACTTGGCGAGCTCGTTCTTGCTCAGCAGGAACTCGCCAGGATTGATCATATCCGTCTTCATCTCGCCAAGGACCGACAAAAAATTGGAGGTGACGTGATCCGACAAGTAGTTCGGAATGTCCCAGATCAAGCACCACCACCTGGACCTCGAAGCAGGCGAACCGTAACTCTTAGCATCGAACGTGCACGTCACCACTGTGAAGCCCATGTCTTCGAAAGTCTTCTTGATGACCGAAGCGTCCGATGGGGCTGGTGCGCCGCTGTCGCCCCCCCCTGCCTCCTCGATTTCTGGAACGTTTTCCAGCATAGAGAAAAAGGGGCGGGTCTTTCGGATGAAATCCTTCATGCTGTCGAAAGTCTCACCAGTGGATCCGACGGCATCTGGAATGGTCGACTTGAACTTGGCCCGCTGCGAGTTCATCTTACTTTTGTTCTTGCAAGAGAAGCCCCCGCCGAATATCTTCGCCCAAGGAGTCATCGTCAAGCTCTGGCTGACTAGATTCATGTGGCGAGGGGCCGCGAGATCCCGAACGTCGGCCACCAAGGTAGTCATCTCGAACTGGCTCATCAAGAACGCCTGCTTATTGGCGTCGATCTCCGCAGACGCGCAGTGGTCCACCACGAAAGGGACCGTCCCGAACTCCGCGTGCCAGAAGCGGCCTAGGAGATTGAGGACGTGGTGCCAAATGTTTGTGCCGCTGCATCCATCGCTCACTTTGACCCCGTTCTCCCCGGCAGCCACGGGCTCGACAACGCCCTCGAGGAAACTCCTCAAGTTGCTCAGCCAACCCAAGTACATCTTCTTTGGGATCGACGCATGCTGACTCTTGATCGCACGGAACAAGAGGGTGCGCTCCAGGTCGCCGTCGATCCTCACCGGGAGCCTCTCGCTGGCGTCGCTCCTGGACTCGCGGAGCACGCGGCGCTCCAGCGCAAAGCAGTCCCTGACCTCGGCCGCCACCTCCGCCAACGAGCTAACCCCGATCGCGCCCGAGGCGCGGTCCGTCGACGCCTTTGGGGCGGGGGGCGCAATCTTGTACAAAGGAAGATCCTCCTGCCTCTGCACCTCCTCCTCCACCTCCTCCTCTTCCTCCACCTCCACCTCCCCCCCCTCCCCCCCCCCCCCCCCTTCCCCCTCTCCTCCACCTGAGGGAAGAAAACTGCCAAACATCTGCAACAGCTGTTCTCCCGCACGCGCGCCCAGGCCACTGCTATAATGACGGAGAGGAAAACAATGCCAAAGGAAGCCGCACGCAGCCTGCGCGTCGGCATCAGGAGGCCATCTTGGGCGTCTTGGAGGCCTCTTGGACCGTTTTGGGGGTCTCTTGGGCCGTCGCGGCCGCCGCCGCCGTCGCCAGGTGTAGGTAATGTAGCACCAGGTGTAGATATTCATCGTTCCACTCGTCATCGTCGTCGTCGTTGTCGTCGCCGTCGTCGCAGCCGTCGCCAGGTGTTGGTAATGTAGCACCAGCTGTAGACATTCATCCTTCCACTGGTCGCCGTCGTCGTCGTTGTCGTCATCGTCGTCGCCGCCGCCGTCGTCGCCAGTCGCCAGGTGTAGGTAATGTAGCACCAGGTGTAGATATTCATCCCTCCACTCGTCGTCGTCGTCGTCGTTGTTGGAGTCGGCGTCGGAATCGTCGTCGGAGTCGGAGTCGGAGTCGTCGTCTTTGTCCTCGTGGGTGTCGTCGTCGTCGCCGTCGCCGTCGCCGCCGTCGTCGCCAGGTATGGGCAATGAAGCACCAGGTGTAGATGTTCATCCCTCCACTCGTCGTTGGAGTCGGAGTCGGAGACGGAGACGTCGTCGTCGTCGTCGTGGTCATCGTGGTCGTCGCCGCCGTCATGGCCGCCGTCGTCGTCGCCAGGTGTAGGTAATGTAGCACCAGGTGTAGATATTCATCCTTCAGCTCGAGGCCAAACCAGGGCGAAGGCCCTCCTGAATCCCTCTTGATGCCCCAAGAGGAGTATATAACTAGGGGGGCTGAGTTATATAGACCCCCTGTGGCCCTCCTGGAGCCGTCTTGAGATCCGCTTAGGGCCCTTTTGGATGCTCCCAAGGAGCTCCAGGAGGCCCACGGGGGCCATCCGAAGGCCCTCCCACAGCCCTCTTGAGGCCCCAAGAGGGGTATATAACTAGGGGGGCTGAGTTATATGGACCCCCGTGGCCCTCCTGGAGCCGTCTTGAGATCCGCTTGGGGCCCTTTTGGACGCTCCCGAGGAGCTCCAGGAGGCCCACGGGGGCCATCCGAAGGCCCTCCCACAGCCCTCTTGAGGCCCCAAGAGGGGTATATAACTAGGGGGGCTGAGTTATATAGACCCCCGCGGCCCTCCTGGAGCCGTCTTGAGGTTGTTTGGGGCACTCTTGGAAGCTCCCAAGGAGGGCCCGTCAGGGCCCCAAGAGAGCCTCCAGGGGCGCCCCAGGGAGGCCCCAAAGACGGCCCAGGAGGGTTCAATCAAGTTCGAAGGAGACACCGAGGAGGCTCCGAGATAGAGCCAGGACGGGGCCTCGAGCGGCTTCGAGTTCGCTGCCAACGTTCGAAGGAAGGCCTCTCGGCCCCGGCGAGGCCCCCGAGGGCCGAGGTCAGTGCAAGGCCTTTGTTAAAGCCTCGCCTGGCAGCATTTCCGTTTGTCGGGCGCTTGAATTCATTGCAATGCGTTCGATTGCTTGTTTTATTGCTTGCGCGCCTTAAATTAATTTCTTGTAGGCCCAGGTGCATGCCGGAGTTATGCCGGAGCCTCTTTTCATGTAGGCGGAAAACGCTGATACATCCTCACAAACCTGCCCCAGGGCGCATGCCGGAGTTATGCCGGAGGGGGGGGCGCAAGAAAAAAACAAGCGCCTCACAAACAATTAAACCTGAAATCCCGATGGCCTTCGACCGTGAGAAAGTGAAATTCGAATTCCCGACGCCAGGAACAAAAAACTACGACCTCCCCCCGCCCACCCCCCGTCCCGCTCGCCGCGCGCCTCGGCCAGCGTCGCGACGCCGCCGTCGGCGAGCTCGTCGCCGCACAAATCCACGAGCCAGTTGCCGTCGTCCTTGGAGGGGGCTCGGGCCGCCTCCTCCTCGATCCTCCTCCTCGATCCGCCTCCTCCATCCTCCTCCTCCATCCTCCTCCTCGATGCTCCTCCTCGACCCCCCTCCTCCTCGATTCTCGATCCACCTCCGCCCCGATCCTCCTCCATCTCCTCTTCCTCCCTCCAAACTCCAGCCCCCTACCTCCTACCTCCTGCCGCCCGCTCCCGCGCCCTCCTCTATCCTTCTCGACCTGCCTCCTCCTTCTCCTCGATCCTTCTCCTCCTCCTCGATGCTCCCCCTCCTCGATCCTCTGCCTCGGTCGTCGATCCTCCTGCACGCTGGTCCTCCCCCTCCCCCTCCTACCTCCAACTCCTGCCTCCAACCTCCTGCCGCCTGTCCACCCACCTCGTCCTCCGCACAGGAGGGGGGGGGGGGGCGGGGTCGACGCAAGCCAGATATGGCACCGCGGTAAGTCTCACGAGCAGGCATCGCATAGGTCGGGGACCCCAAACATCTTCTACCTGTACTCCCCCCATCCCCCTAACCTTCCCAAGCGCCCCGCTGACTTGCGAGCCCGCTCCCCAAGACGCCCCGACGATCCTGGGCGGCCATGGCGCCGCGGAGAGCAGCGAGCGAAAGAGAGAGGCAAACCCTGGCCACCGGGGCACGCCAGCCACGCGCTCGAACGACTCGAGCAAGCGGCTCGCAGGGGGCACGACGACTCGACGACAGTGACCGCCACAGGCGTCTGGCCCATTTGTGCATATCGATGTTCTAGGCCGCTGTCATCCCGACCGACGACAAACCAAGACCTTCCGACGTCTGCGAGACAAGGGCTCTCGAAGACACGGCATAAACATAATGGCACCACATTGCATGCACCGATTGGATCCGTGACGTTTCATCATGCCGAGGCGGTGGAGAAGGGGGAAGTGCAAGACTGGGGACAAGGGGGGCAGGGACTCAAGAGCCGAGACATCGGACCCAAACCCGAGCATGACCACGGAGTCCGCGAACATAACTGACATACAGATATTGTCGGGATGATGAATCGGCCGCAATGCTTAGCGCGATTACCGACTGCGCGCGCGCCCACCCAGACTGTAACAAGACAGAAGAGCGCAGCATCATGGCGAGAGGGGCGCGCGATGCGCCAAACAAATGCCCTGCGCCGCCACAGATGCGCAAGTCACGCAATCAGTGGAACCGCAATATTTCTGTGAAGAGAAAAAGAGCAGGCGTGGGAGGCAAGAGTTGGAAAGAGAGGGCGGGGGTATCAACGAAACCTGGCTGGCGCCCACGCCCCCCAGGAGGCCCACGCAGCGGCGAACTTGCATCCAGTTCACCGTCCCAGTGCCCCCCAGAGGGCTCACAAAACGGCGAACTGGAATCCAGTTCGCCGATCGAGAGCCCCCCGAAAGGCCCACTGAACGGCGCCCTGGAATCCAAGTCGAGAATCGGGTGTCTTGCGCCTGCCAGAGGATGACGCCCACCACCGATTGACTGGCTTTCGACAACTTACTTCCCGAAAGGGGGGGGCGTGTTCTTTCTACTTAGATGCGCCCGAGACGTTCTCAGAAAAGCTTGTCAGAATCCAAATCGAGATTCGAAGGTAACAGTTGCAAAACTGATCATTTTCCCGAACTGGCGAGGCTGCGACGCTCGACGTCACATCATCCGCGCGCGCCCAGTTGAGCTGCAAAAAGCCAGACGACAACATTGTCATGGCAACGATGGGATGTCCTGCGGCATGCGAAAAAACTGAGTGCGAGCTCTGCCGATGGGAGTAATGTTGCTGTGTGTTGCTGCGTGCCCATCTGCAATACGTGACGCATGGAATGGCATTGCTGTGCGTGTCTCTAAACCTCTTCTAAACAACCTCGGAGTGCCCGCACGCGCTAATTGCAACATTCTGCTGAGAATGCCGCGAATGTCCCCGCGACCCCGAATCAAGCGCACGGGCATGGAAGGCGCGAAGCTGGGTCCTGCACCAAACGATCTAACTCAGCCTCTGGCGTGTCCGGGCAATGGCGCATGAAAACGGCAGGCTTCCCTATCTCGCGCAAATGGTGCTCAATGCCAGCAGCGGACGCGGCGTCGACCGATCGGCCCATCAAAAGCCATGCCTTGGCCAAACGACGTGCTTCTGCACAACCCGCCGCGTCGCCAGGCTTGAAAGTCAAATGCTTCTTACACTGGGCCGCTGGATTGCCGTGCGCGTCGGAGTGTTTGAGGCAATTGCCGCCCCAACCAACTTGAATCCTTTCTCCAGAGACTAGATTGAAGATCGGCGAAATTGAAAACTCGCCCCACGGCGCTGCAACCTTTCGCTTGGGTGCCCCAGCGGGCGCTGGCGCACCAAGCTCCGGCGGTCCTGGAGGGGGGGGCTCTGGCGCAGCTGGCTCCGGCACAGCAGGCTCCGGCGCTGGCGGAACCAGCAGAGGCTCAGGGGGTGGAGGTGGAGGTGCCAACTTTGGCTTCTTCCTGGGCGCAAGCTTAATGTACACGACCTTTCGTTTGGCCTTGGCCTTAACCTTGGCCTTGGCCTTCGGCTTGCCTTTCGCAGCCTTTTTTAGGCCACCCACAAAATCTATGAGAGCCTGTTCAAGAGGAGCAGCATCATCCTCGCCCTCGTCGCCACCGACCTCGTCGGGGTCGAAAGCTGCATCGACATCCCCGCGGATGCTCTTCAGCACCTCATCAAAAACGGAAGGTTTGGGCGCTGGGGGTTTCGCAATGCCCGCTGCCTCCAACAAGTCCGCGGGCCCTGGGGGCCACACGCCAACCGCGTCTGCGGAACCTGCGACAGGACTGCAATCATAACGAGGGATCGGTCTGGCGGCTTCTGCAAGGCTGGCGGGCACGATCGGAAGCAGACGCAACACCCTGACCCCCGCAGGCTCACCCTCGCGCCAAATGGCGTCCATCAACCCCTCTCCGACCTCGAACTCTACGCCGAAGTCGTCGGCGATCCTCAAAAATATCTCAGAGT